GGGAAAGGAGGAAGGGACAGAGGGGAGCAAGCAGGGGGGCAGGGAGAGGGAAAGCAGGAGAGCTGGAGCAGCAGGTCCAGGGCACGCAAGGGGGCTAAAGCAGCCCCGGATCCGAGGGAAGGGGCCACCCGGGCGGCCCGCGGGGACGTCCACTCACCTCCTGTCCTCCTCGTACTTGGACCTGCATGGAGATGGGGAACAAAAGGAGGGCCCGTTTGCCAGGGACCCCTGCACCCAGGGACCCCCGCACCCAGGGGCCAGGAGCAGGGAGCCGAGCGCATCCCACGCCCGCTCCTGCTGCTCCACCCGGCAAATCCAAGGGGACGGGAGTGCCCGGAGTGGCGAGCCGGCACTCACAGGATGTCACCCAGCTGGGCCAGCTGCTTCTCGGCCACTTGGCGCTCCTTCTGGGGGTCCCCGTCCAGCTCCAAGAGGTCGTTCTCGCCGTACAGGCTGCCCAGGCCCATGGTCCGCTTTGTCCTGCCCGCGGCACGGACAATGGGTCACCCAGTGCCAGGAGCCCCCGGTTGCTCCGTGAGGAAGAGTATGAGGAGCAAGGCGGGGTGCCCAGGGCCACCCTGTCACCTGTAGTCCTGGATCTGCTCCTGGATCTCGGGCATCACCATCTCCTGAGCTTCGAAGAGGGCGACTCGGACATCGTCCCCGTACCGCAGGCGAGTCTCTGGGGACAAGGGAAGAGAGCCAGTGTCACCAGCGGGGCCCAGCTTGCAAGGAAGGGAGCAGAGGATCTTCTGGCAGCACCAGGACTTGGTAGGATGGGTCRGGAGACCTCAGGAACCCTTCCTGGAGCTCAGCTCTGCTCTTTGCTACCCGGAGTTGTGGCTTCAACGGGCAAAATCCATCTCCCATTCTGCATAGGCAGATTTGAGACCTCTCCTGGTAGAGAAGGGACATCCCAACAGAAGAGATTTTGCAGGACAGCAAGGACAGAGCTGGGCAAGGCCCAAGGTGTCCTAACTCCAAACACATCCCTCTCTAGCCGGGCAATGCTGTGGAGCAGAGAGCCAGGGGCTGCCTGCCCCTCTTGGATGCAGGAATCCAGGAATGCCCTCGGGAAGTCCTTTGGCACCGTGACGGGCCGCAYGTTGCTCAAGGTGACAACGCCACCGTTGTCACCGGCATGGACAGTGGCTGCGGCCTCCTCCTCACTCACCGATTTCGGCCAGGAGCTGCTCGGACACCTTCACTCGCAGAGGCTGAGGAGAGAAGGGCAAAGACAGAGCGATTGAGGGGCAGCCGCGGCGGAGCGGAAGGGGCCGCGGATCCGGCGCCGCAGATCCGTGTGGCTGCTCAGACCGGCACGGAGCCGGCAGCTTCCCGCCGCGGCGCTCACCGCGTTCCTGTCCAGGAAGATGTTCCAGATGTCCTTCCCCAGGAGGCGCGAGTCCTTCGGGCTCGTCTGCTGGCAAACGTCCGCGCACAAGTAGAAGAGCTGCGAGGGCGGCCGGAGAGGGAAGAGGGCGACGAGGGGGAAGATGAAGAAAGAGGAAGAGCGACTTAAGACAGGGGAGGCCGCAGCGACGTGCAACAGGAAACCATTGCGGGGTGCTGCCCTCGCCCGTGCCGAGCCGAGGGGAGGAAGGGGAGCACTGAAATTCCAGGTTTTTCCCTCTCGCGTGGGCACGGGGCTRTGGAAGCCCCTGGGAGGGCAGGGGCACAAAGCGGAGCCCCACACGGGGGGYTCGCACCCCGGTAAAAGGGGAAGGGAGCAAATGCACCGGGTTTGTCCCCGTTTTGTGGCCTCCTGCCACTGCTAATGTCACTTACCAGCGGGCTGGGATCTGCTTGGGAGAAGATGTAGCGCAGGAAGACGCCCAGATGGGCCGGGCGGGATTTCAGCTTGCCCAGGTCTTGGAAGAGGGAGTCGCACTGGCCAAGGGAGACACCCAAGGGAGGACGCTCCGGTTAGGGAGGAATGAATCCCTCGGGAGCAGGGATTCATTCCCACCCTGTAGCTCATCCCTAGGGTAAACCGCCCTTCCCTCTCTATGGCAGAGAGCTCCGAGTAGCCACAAACCAGCACAACCAGCCCCACTTTGGCCACCCCCTTTAGGGTCGGTGGCCACCGGGCTGCCCGTCCCCAGGGCCAGCCCTTGGTGTGGGTGTCCTCAGTGCCACCGCTCTGTGGCTGCCAGTGGGGCAGCAAAGGCCACCGTGGGGAAGGGGCCACCTGCCCGTGGCCGGTCGCCCTGCAAAGACTGGCCAAAGGCAGGAAGATCTTGGATGCCAAAGGCAGGAAGATCTCAGACACCAAAGGCGGGAAGATCTCGGACACCAAAGGCGGGAAGATCTCGGACACCAAAGGCGGGAAGATCTCGGATGCCAAAGGCGGGAAGATCTTGGATGCCAAAGGCGGGAAGATCTCAGAGGTCAAAGGTGGGAAGATCTTGGATGCCAAAGGCAGCAAGATCTCGGACACCAAAGGCAGCAAGATCTTGGATGCCAAAGGGGGGAAGATCTCGGACGCCAAAGGGGGGAAGATCTCGGACGCCAAAGGCGGGAAGATCCCGGGGTGCCAAAGGCGGGCAGATCCCGGGTGCCGTTACCTCATTATTGAAATACCCGGGGTCACAGTCCTCCTCTGGCCCGATGATGAGGGGCCGCGCTGGCCGGTCCAGCCCCTGCGGGAGACACGGGATGCGGGTGGGMCCCCGGCGGCTCCGGGCAGCCGCTGGCTGAGCGTGGACAGAGCGTCCCCTCCGAGCGCCCCTGGGCCGGCGCGCGCGGTGCCCACCTGCTCGGCGGCGGGCGCGGGCGCCGCGTCGGAGCCCTGCCGGCGGTGGCGCTGGCCCAGGCGGGCGGCGACGAGCGGCGAGGTGCGCGGGCTCTCCGCGCCGTGCTCCGAGAGGACGGAGTTGCGGTTCAGAGAGACCTGCGTGGGACAAGGAGGAGGGCGCTGCCATCCTGGGGACCGGGGGGCACCCAGGGCAGCCCGGGGAGCTGCTGCCACGTCGGAAACCTTCCCGAAAGCTCCGAGGAACTTAGGGAACGCGCAGACCCTGCCGGGTTGTTGGAAATGCCCCTTTTAGCTACGATGGGCTCGAAGAGCAGGGAGGCAAACTCGGAGCTTAAGGCCTCCAGGCTGGTGCAGTCAGGGCAGTCGAAGGAAATTCGCTGCGTAATGCGAAACTCGGCTTTTTAAGAGATATATAAATAATYATGGGGCAAAATGAGGCCCTTGGCTCCTCACAGCGCTGAGGGCAGGATGCCCAGGCGCCTCCGTCCAGGCCTTGCTGCCGTTTCCCCCCAGCCCAGGCTGGACAGAGACGGGTTAAGTCCTGCCTTGGGTCCCTCCGGGCTGCGACCCTGCTCCTACCTCGCTCACGGAGGGGAACCGCTCCGTGCCCGACTCCAGGCCGCTGTCACCGTCCTGCGAGTCCAGAGAGAGGCGTCCTGCGAGCAGAGCACAAAGTGAAGCGCATGGAGAACCCAGATGGAGCGGGAAGGGGGCGACACCCCAGCACGACTCACCCTCGGGAGCCCGGGAATTGGCCACGCTGGCGTCCCCAGGGAGCCGCCCCAGATCCTGCAACGGAAGGACGCGCGTTGGGAGCAGCGGGACGTCACCAGACGCGTGGGGACACCCGGGCGCAGCGCCCAGGATGCTCCAGCCCAGGATGCCCAGGAATTGCAGTGAATTTGGGAGAGCAGGAGCAGCTCCTTTTCCCGAGCGGACCCTACACAGACGGTTCCCCAGCCCCAACCACCCTGCTGAGCTCGTTGGGTCCCCGCTGTGCTCATGGCACCCACTGCATTTTGGAAGGTTTTCTCGGCCAGGGACAAGAGGGAAGGGATGGTCACCTTGTTGGGGCTAAGAGCGGGCCAGACTCCAAGCGGGAAGGCGAAAGGACTCCGCCAATTCCCTGTGCAATTCCAGGGTGTCCCACGTACCACAGAGGCGCCCGTCTCCTGCAGGATTTTGAGCTGCAGCTGGCTGACGCGCCGGCGCGCGCCCTCGATCTGCTCCTCCGCGACGGTGCCCGGGTTGCGGCTGTGCAGCTCGCAGAAGCGCTGAGGACACACGCGGCACGTGACACTTGTGGCAGCCCCTGTGCCCTGAGGCCGCCCTGCCGGCACCCAGCCACGGGGCAGCCGCCCCCTGCCCAAATATTTCACATCCCGGGCACGCGCCAGGCCTCTAGGACAAGCAGGAGTCAATCCCGCCCGGAAAGGTGGGATGAACTCGCCCCAGCAGGAGAATAAGCAGCCCAAGGGTGGGTTATTTTGCCCAATAAGGTGCCCTAAAGCACGACGCTGGTCGTGCCGCCGCACCTGCAACTCGGCCTCCTCCTGCCGCAGCATGTTCCGCAGGATCTGCGCCGCGTGTTTCTGCACCTCGGGATCCTGCAAGGAGGCAGGAAGAGCCATTGGAGACGGCCACGAAGAGCCAGAGGGATGAAGGGCCGGAGCGAGCGGCATCCTCGCGCTCCGTGCGGCGCAGACCGGTGCGGAGGCTCCCCGCGGCGCCCGGTACCTGCAGGGGCTTGGGGCCGGTGATGTGCTGCGGTGGCGGCGGTGGCGGGGAGCCCGTGGGGACCCCGGTGGGGCCGGCGTCGTGCTGAGAAGCCGGGAGCGCCGCCGAGGGCGGCGGGGAGCCCAGCAGCGTCAGCGCCACGTAGGCTCCGGCTGCGGAAAACCCGGGGAAGGCAGGCAGGGAAAGACATCCTGTCAGGCCCCAAGCGGCACCGGCCTCCCCGCGCTCTGCCCTCCGCTGGCTCCCGCTCATCCCTAACCGCCGGGCAGGAATGTGCTCCGGGATGGCCGGGAATGAGGGATGGCAGCGGCTCGGCACAATGCCCGGCCCTGGATATTGCCCAGCCCTGGATATTGCCCGGCCTTGCATATATCGCCTGGCCCTGGACATATTGTCCAGCCCTGGATGTATTGTCCAGCCCTGGATGTATTGTCCAGCCCTGGATGTATTGTCCAGCCCTGGATGTATCACTCGGCCCTGGATATCACCTGGTCCCAGATACTGCCTAGCCCTGGATATATCACTCGGCCCTGGATACTGCCCGGTCCTGGATACCGGCTGGCCCTGGGTATATCGCCCGGCCCTGGATACTACCCGGTCCTGGATATCGCCTGGCACCGGATACCACCCGGTCCCGGATACCGCCCGACCCTGGATATTGCCCGACCTGGATATTGCCTGGTCCCGGATATCGCCCAACCCTGGATAATTCCCGCTCCTACTCACACTTGATGAGCTTCACCACCTCCAGATGGGAGCTGTTGGTGACCATGGTGCCGTTGACCTGCGGGAACGGGGGCGAGGCGGGAGGCGAGGGCGGCGCGCGGGGCGGCGCGGGCGGCACCGGCGCCGCGGCTCACCTTCACGATCCGGTCGCCTTCCCGCACGCCCGCTCGCATGGCGGCGCCGCCTGCAACGGCAGAGACGCGCGGAGCCCGGCTTAGGCCGCGGCGAGCCGGGATGCGGCCCCTGCTTCCCACGGGAGAAGGGCCGGCGCTGCCGGATTCCCGCTCGTGGGGACCCAGCGCCCGCGGAGACTCCTGCCCATCGCGGGGGCATCGAGAAGCCGCCGCGTGGCAGGAGCCGAGCGCGGGATGCRGCACTTGGGAACAACAGCGTCATTCCCGCTTTCCCCCCGCCCCGGCCGCTCTCTAACAGAAACTGCTGAGGYTGAAATCCATGAAAATTTAAAAAAGATTCTCCTTTCCTGCAGCCAAACCCGAGAGGAAATGTTTCCACCGGGTTCAGTTCCAAGCCGAGGGGCAGCTTGAACAGCCTCGTTCCTGGCGCCCAGATGGAAAAGTGGGAAGCGGGACGCCTGGCCCCGGGGGCGGTCAATCCCATGGGGATCGCTCCCCACAGCTCCCGCTGCAGGAGGGCTGCGATTCCAGCGTCAACCTGTGCCCAAAACGCCCTTTTTTTTTTGCTCCCATTTCCCAAATTTCCCAAATCCTCGGTTTTCCTGGCTTTTGGGTTGCATGGAGCGGGAGGAAAAGGGAGGAAGCGGGAACATCAGGCAATAAGCAGCTCGTTGCCTATTTGAACGGCAGCTCTGAGCCCCGGCATCCCACAAATCCATTATATCCCGCGGCTCCCGCCGGAGCGGCCGCCACGTCCCTGTTTCCCGAGGCTTCCCGAGCTTTTCCCACCTGGCCGCACGGACTGCACGAGGACGATGCGGTCGCCGCTRACGGTGAAGCCGAAGCCGTGCTGGTCCTTCTGGATGATGACGCAGCGCTGCACCAGACCTGCCCAGGGAGAAACGGGAAGGCCGGGGAGGCTCCGGGATTGCGGAGGGGAAGCTGAATCCATGTGTTTTGGGGCGTTCGGATCCAAATTCCCCCTCTCATCCCGCCCAGGATTGCRCTTGGAGCTGCCGCGTGCCCTCGGCGAGGGATTCAGGCGCTGGAGAGCCCGGCTAAGCAGGGATATTGCCGGGCGCTCTGGGCCTCATCCGGAGGCTCCCGCCGGGACACAAGCGGAGCATTCCCAGGGCTCGCTTCCCGGCTGCCGTGCCACGGAGAGCGGGAAGCCCTACCTGTGGTTTCGGTGCCATCGGAGGGCTGCCGGCGGTGCCCGGGAGCCTCGTGCTCCGAGGCCGCGTCGCTGCTCAACCTGCGGAGGACGGAGCGCCGGGTGAGGCCGGAGGCTCCCGCCCGGAGCCGGAGCGCTGGGATGGGCTCCGGGCGCTCCGYGTGCCGGGATGCACCCGAAGGGGCCACCAAGGAGCCGAGGATGGAGAGGAGAGAGACGCCCGGGCAGCAGGGGGGTTATTGGGCACTGGCAACGAGCCGCCCTCGGGATGGATCCAAGAGGATTCGAGAGGATCCGGGAAGCCAGCGCCATCCCGGCACCAACCGAGGGGCTCGGATGCCTCCCATGTCCCCTCCCCTGCGGCCCAACGGGGACCTCGGGGGTGACAGATCCCTTTGGCCACCACCRCGTCCCTCCTCTTCCCATCGCTCCCAGTGCCCGCACCGGGATCGGGATTGAGCCGGAGGCTCCTGCAGCGGCAAAAGGGAGGAAAAACGATGGGATTCCCAGGAAAGCCACCGGCCTCGCTGAGCCAAGGAGGGATCCGGAGCGAGACCCCAGAGCAGGGAAGGGGAGCGGGAAGAGCCGGCGGGATCAGAGAGGGAGCAGGCACTGCCGGCAGCGCCCCGGATCCCGGTTCCGCTCCGGAAGCCACCGGCTCATCCGGGTCCTGGCCGGATTGATTCCCCTTTGGACACCCGCCCGGCTGCGGATTAGGACGGGCGCAAGGTGGGACATAAGAGCTTTAATGCTCCTCAATTAGGGCGAGTTATCCGGGGCGGCCGGAGGCAGCGGCGAGGCCGGAGGCCGATCCGCCCGGGACGGCTCCGGGCCACCGCGGTGTCACCTTCGCGGCCCGGAGCCGCTTCCGTCYGGCACGAGGGCGACGGAGCCGCGTCCGTCTAAAAGGGGCCCTTAATTCGGCTTTGCTTAAGCTCCCGCCTAATTGACTTAGGGCCCTAAGGAGCCACCGGGAGGCCAAGGAGGCGGCCTCGCGCGGCCCGGCGCCAAGCACGTGATTCCCGACGGAGACGCCGCTCCAATGCCCGGCAAAATCCCTTTTTTTGGGTAACGATGCCCATTTCGGGAGCAGTTTCGGATTCCCGGAGGAACGGCCTCGCAGGGGGCTTTTGTCCCACACAAAGGCCTCCGCTTGGGGAAAAGACCCTTGGAATGGGAGGCTCAAGGCTCAGCCTCCAAAGGCTCCTAGAAGCGACTCCGGAGTCCCTCGGGCTTGGAATTCCTTGGGAATCCAAGGCTGGAGCAGGCGGCAGCCCTTGGCTCAGCAAGCCTCGGCACGCTCCCATCGCTGCCCTTTTCCCAAAGGAAAAYGTCCGTTTTCCCGCCCCGCATCCGTACGGATCCACATCGTTCCCCGGTTACTCATCCCATCCCATCTCCTCTGCTCCTTCACGGCAATTACGGTTTCTGGTTTGAGGTTCTTTTCCCTAACTGCAGCGATTTTGACTCAAATCACAGCTCTTGCCTGGTTTTCCTTCTTTTTTTTCCCTGCTCGGAAATATTTTGGGATAGAAAACATCCCTGTCTTTTGCTGAGATCCCGGCCCTCCGCTGTGGATTAATCCCCCTTTTCCCRACAAAAAGCCTTCGGATCCGGAGCCTTCGCATCCGGATGAACATTCCCGGTGCTGCCTCTTTTGGGGCCTTTTCCCGGCTTCCCGRGGCGCTCAGGCCCGGCCATTCCCTTACTTTAAAGGGGGAGAAATGGCAAAATCCAGGGAAAAACAAAGCGGAAAAAGCTTCGGAGCGTYGGCAAACACCTCCGGCAAAGGAGCCGCCACGGAACAAAAGCCACAATTAAAAGATTAAGAGAGAAATAGGATCAAATCCTCAAAGTGGGTCAGGCTCCGGCTTGGCAAACGCTCAGCGCGGGATCCCGGGATATTTCCCCCTTTCCACGGCTCCAAATGGGTGGATATTGGGAAATTTTCCTCCTCCTGTGGCACTGAACAGGTGGGAAAACGGGAGGGAAAGCTGGGTATAAATAAAAAGGAAATATATGTAAATACATAGGAGGAAATAAAAAAGGGAAAGGGGAAAAAAAACTTGGAAAGCGGCGTCTTGGTGGGATGCATCTTGCAGCTGCTTGCACGGCGTTCCCGGGCCGTTATCCGGCGCTTCCCGAGGCAAATCCCGCTCGCCGGCGGCTTTCCCGGGCCGCAGATGCGTAGAGAGGGCTCCGCGTCAGGGCTGCCTCCCGGTATTCCCGGGGCCAGGAAGGAAGGAAGGAATCRCAGCTAAAAATGATCCGACTTCCCTTCCCCCTCGGCAGCGGGCTGCGGGAAAAGGCGGCTGCGTCCAGAGTTGTTTCTCCCTGGAATAGCTCCCCGGTTGCTGAGTTTGGGAGTGGAAAGCCGGGAATGTCGATGCGTGTGCATTTGCAGCCAGCAAAACGGCCCCGGGAAGGTGGGAATGGTCCGAGCGCGCGGCTTTTCCCGCATCCCGCTGCAGGATCCACGCTCGGGAGCCCCGGGAACACCGGGATCCAACGGAGGAGCCCGCGGGCCGACCTATTCCACTGCAAAGAAACAACGCAGCGGGAAAACTCGGAATTGTGTGTCCGCACGCAACCTCGCCAGCGTTTTGCTGGAAAATTAATGGGAAAAGATGGGAAAAAAAAGGAATTTCCCACCATTTCTGGCCTACAATGGCCAGAACCTATCGGTCTTCCCAGTTTTTCCCTTCCTAGGGCACACGGGGAGCTTTTTTGGACTTCCAAGCGGGAAAGGGAATTTCAGTCCCTGGGATCCTAAAGCCACTTGGTTGCAGCAGGYGGGAGAGGCTGCCGGGGCTCCGATTAATTAAGATTTTTAATTAAATGGCCAAAAAAAAAGGAAAAAATGAGGGACATAATGAACACACAGGCCTGGGTGTTGGGCAGCGCATTCCCGAAGTATGGAATTTTGTGGAGGAACCGGGGCCGGGATACAGCTTTGGCCAGGCRTGCGGCTTTCCCGGGAATGCTGCACGGAAGCGGCCGAAGCCCCACGCGCTCCCGGCCATTTTCCAGCCGTCTCCTCCTGCCCGGGCGGGATAATCATTAACGGGCCCCTCGGCGCTCCCGGTAAGTGGCGGATCCGGTTTCTCCGGAGCGTGAGGTCTGCGGGAGCGAGATAGGGAATAACCTCCCCGGAAGGGATGTTTTCTTCCCGAAGGAAAAGGYGCCCGGAGCGAAGACAATCCCGTCTCCCTGTCAAAGGGGCTGGTGCCCGGCTCCGGCTTTCCGGGAATCTCTATCCCGCAACGGGGAGTGCGCCCGGAGCAAATGTCCTCCGGATCCCGGCTGTCACTGCATGGAAACTCAATGGATCCTCAAACATCCCGGGAACATCGCGCCCGGGATGCGGCTTGCGAGGAGCCGAAAGCCGCCAGGGAGGTGGGAATGTTCCCAGCATTCCCACATCTGGCGATTCCCTGGCCGGCACCAAGAGCCGGATGGCAGCAGGAATCGCTCCRGAACAGGGAAAAGTCCCTTAAAGAGCGGGAGAACAAACGGCCTCATTTGTCCTCTCCGAGGCCRGAGCCGCTTCCCGGCCACCTCCAAAACGATGGGAAGCGGCTCCGGGCCGGAATGACCTTGAGGCTTAAAGAAGGGCAGGACACCCGGCTCCAGCGGGAAGCACCGGAGCTGGAGACAGCGGCTGGCGCTGCCTTTCCCGAGGGGTTTATCCCAACGGGAAAACCGAGGGAAGCGGCAAGAGGGAGAAGGGAAGGGGTCCGTGCGCCATCCCGGCGAGGGCAGGAATCTCTCGGGATGCGGTTTCCCGGGAAGAGCCTCCYGCTCTGCCTCTCCGCACGTTCCCGGACACGCATCCGAGCGGCATCCGGGCGCCGCTTCCCGGAACGCCGGCGCTCCGGAGCATCCCGGCGCTGCGGGGGATGCTCCCGCCTTCCCACGCCACATCCCGCCGACAGCTCCGTTATCCCGGGATAGCCGGGATGCCGCTCCGGGCCCTGGCAACACACGCGATGCCGGCAGGGAAAAAAAAAAAATCAATGTTTTYCTGTGGGAATTGCCGCTCGGCTCCCGTTAATTCACACGCTGGATCCGCCGATCCGAGGCAGCCGTTCCCAGCCCTGCGGCTTCCTGGCTCCCGCAATCCCGGCGCCGGGAACGCCGCCGCCATCCGCAGCCTCCGGCTCGCCGGCCAAGGGAGGGGCTCCTGCTCCCAGCRCTCCGGAGCCGCCGGGAAAACCGGGATCGCGCGCACACAGAAAGGAATAACCCGGAGCCCGCGGCCTCACCGGCCTCCCGGGGGACACCTGCGAGGGGACGCCCCGACCGGGGGGTTTCCTCTAAAGAAAAACACCCGGTTTTGGGAATTCCGGGGGGGAAAATAAAACCACCCGGGTTTGGGAATACCGGGAATGGCCGGAACGACCCCCCCGCAGCAGGAAGGGACCCCGCGGGGGCCGGACTAGGCCCGGC